GAAGGTTCATTACCGTGTTCACAAGAGCACTCCACTGGTCCCTAACCTGAGCCAGATCAATCCAATCCATCCCATCCTATCTCTCGAAGATCCACTTTAATATTGTCCACACACCTACGCCTTGGCCTTCCCAGTAGTTTCTTTCCTTCTGGCTTTCCCACCAACAACCTATATGCATTCCTCTTCTCCCCAATTCGTGCTACATACCATTCCCACCTCATCCTCCTTGACTTGATCATTCTAATTATAATTGGAGAAGAATGAAAGTTATGAAATGAACATTGGATTTCTCATTAGAAACGAATAAACACGCGTTTGTGGCTAAAATGCGTCTAAATTATGATCTGAGTGATTTCTTTGGTGCAGTTAATGTACATGGTCGAAAGTGAAATTTCTCTTTAGGAGGCTGTAGCAGCTGCTTCACGTTTTTCAGCAGAAAATCGATACTGCAAACCTAAACTGGCCGTTTTCTGAGAAATACACCGAAGGCATTCAAGTGCAGTCGGCATAAATAACGCAGTGCTCTGAAAACCGCCATCATTGTTGCTCCTGCCATTCCTGAACCGTGTAACGAGAGGCTTAACTCAGCGTAGCCAGTAAAGTGAAATTGCCATTACGAATCATCCTGAAAGCAAGACTGGAGCTGGAAGATCGTGCTCAATTCTGTAAAGACTGAATTTCATATATACAAATTCTGATTTTAACATTGGGAGGATTACAGGTTTGAACATGCAATAAAACGTGGAACCTTACGATTGAATGTCCCTGATAGCGTATGAAATCATTATATATTTATACGAGACATTATATTTCCGAATTTTCTCACAAGATAAAGTCTTGCATACATTTTTCTGTTAAACTCTCTACGTAATCTATGACACCTGGAATATATTACGATATTTATAATGGTCATAAATGCATTTTTTTCCGAAATATTGATATTTCAGAACGCTCTCATGTGCATGATATCACAATTATTTTCACCGACTCTTACAATTTCCAACAGTTCCCGAAATATTCTCTTTTCGAATGTTCCCATTATTAACTTTATTATGTTTTTCGATATATGTGAAGGAAATACATATATTTTAAATGAAAAGTATCCACCCCACAAAACAGGTGCTCAAATATTAGATAGGGAAATCACTGATTACGATCTGAACCTAAGAAAATACCATGCAACATTCTTCTAAGCATTAAAAAAAAAGAAAAAGAACACATCACTATGTATGTTCTAGACTAAACTATAATTTACAATTACAAGAATGTCAGTTGTAACAACTCCTGCTTACCTGTAAACAATGTGATCCTGTAAGCACTTTAATAGATGGAAAGGAAATAATTTCCTGATGCTGTACAAGTATTCTACCTGGTAGCACATGTAAGCCTAGAAGATTAGATGGCAAGAATGCAATCCATTGTCTATGACACCGAAATAGACATCTGACTTACAAATGACTTGCCATCAATCTCCATGCTATAACACTAACTCTTCACAACACTGTGTACATTATACACTCTCATTGAACAGGATTGACCACACGTGTTTCACCTAGCATACCACCTTGTTATAAGCAAGAATTTTTAATGAAAACAAGAAATGTACATAAAAGAGGAAACTTTTGAATCCATTGTGGGTGACTGGAGATCTTAGCATTCCTGAAAACACTACAGAATCTCATACACATCACTGTATGTATTACACACAAAGATATAACGTCACACCAGAGAATTTGAACTTCAGTCTGTACTTGCCATTATTGTGACCAAAACAACATACATTATACCCACCACCCTCTGTTACACAGAGCTAAGATAGAATTTCGAAAAATAACTTCTCCAATGTGCACTAGAAATTCACTTTGAACCCTCTTCTTACAAGTACTTATATTAATGCAAAAAAAAAAAAGTTATATCACTCTCTCTAATAACCTACTCACACGAGTAACATTCAGAGGCTACATACCAATATTACACCCTGATCTCTGTCATACCAAATGTGCACACATAACATCTAATTCACTCTATCCATGTAAGCACTAAAACACATTTTGTGCAGAACAATGTACATACTTCACACGAGATTATTAAGCAGTAAATGGAAATCCAGTTCTTACCTCACAGGGAACACATTGCGTCTCCGCTGCAAAGATTACCCGGTTAATGCTGTTTAAGGAAACAATTTCTGTGTACCGTGAGAACCATACGGAACAGGTAAACAGTTTGTGGTCAGAGTGCACAGTTTGATATATGTAGAACCACGGTCACACCCAGTCACGCTGTGCAGTAATACGTCTGTTGTCAGTATGTATAGTTTACATTTAAATGTTATTAAGCGTGTGTATACAACAGATACACGGCCTCTGTCAGTCCAGCTTTAGTACAGCAGATCATGGGCTATGATTAGTAGCTCCTGTTACAACAGGAGTCTAGCCGCTTGAACAGACGTATGCTTGACCGCCGTCAAATTTAAGCCTCTTAAATTTTTGACTGACTCCTGTTCAAACTATCTCCCTTATATAGCCGCGGCACGGATCACGCAGCCCAGAAAACACAGCCCCTCTCTTGTTGTAGAGGCCTGTTACCACGCAATTGCCTAACAAACAATCTCGGCGCGGACTACATAGAAATACCTTTTATTCTCGTCACGTATTGTACACATCAACCGGCAACGGCTGTTTACCAAGAATCTGTCTCCGTAGAAACGTGTTTATCGACCCGTTGCCTATCAGTGGCCATGCGTCACAGTGTCGACTGTAGCAAATGTCTACTCAGCTTGTTCTGTCCACTGTGTGTATTGTTCTACCGCACGTCATGGTTTCGTTGCATTGTGGAGCCACTTGCACATGACCCTTCACATTCTTCCGAGACATGGCGAGACTATGTAAGGTTAGACTGGACTGAGTAATGTTATATTGGCACATTCACTCACACGTGTGATAGCGGGCTCTGGTGAGTATAATAATGAGCCTTCAGATTCCATAAAAGGCGAGGACTTTCTTGTCTAGTTGAGAGACCATTAGTTTCTAAAGAAGGAACTCTGCTTTATGGAGTTAGGCTTTTAATTTGGTTTGGGCAAAGGCTGTATCATCCTCTTCACTGTACTCGTATCATTGCTAACAACTAGAGCGGGAAGGCTTCTATTCAGAAGGTAAATAGCTGTAATCTAAGATGGGATGTTGTCTGGTCAGTGGTTTCCATAAATTTCTGCGGGGGTATGACCTTGAGGTTGTGTTACCTTCATCCATTGTTAGAACGAGGGTGGGTCACCAGTTAGTGATGTAGCTGTCCCTGTAACAGGCCATGGAGGCCCATAGGGCTGTGAGACGTCGAGGCTGCCACATATTCTAGACAATCGGCTCACATATGGCGGTGAGGTTGTCACCCTTACGCGCCGGCCGCCCTTTACCCCCCAGGAAGATTCCTGATACTAATTTCTGTTAGAGGCTGAGTCGACTCTAGGGCAACAGTGCGGCTGGGAGGATTAGGCCAATTGAAAAATCCATTGACCCCATCGGGAATCGAACTCGCGACCTTCCGGCTTGTAGCATAGTGCCTCAACCAACTACGCTACCGCGTACCCCCATTCTATTTTCAACATGTTTCCGGTGTTTATTCATCGGCGGTAAATTTAAACGTGCTTACACAGGACTTTTACTCCGTAGGGTTGTCTGCATAAGGTCATACACTGGTTCGTAAAGTAGATGGACTTCAGCACATCTCTTTCGTATTATGAAGGTCACTGGTTCAAATCTCGGACAGCAAATCTATTTTGGCGGGGTTTCCGCGGTTTTCGTCGATTTCTGCAGGTGAATGACCTGGGGGGTGAGGTTTCTTAGAACTTACAACTTTTTATTTGAAACTTTCTTTGTACTTAACGATATACACTGAACGTTTGGGATGGTTCATTTCATATGTTTTTTTTTCCATCTGGAAGTATGATTTTTTTTATTATTATTATTTTTGCCAATTTACAATCTACGTAACCTCAAAGGAAGTAACAAGTAAATGTGATATATCTTCTTATGCCTTGAAGGCGGTAACCGCCCAGCGGCAGTGGAAGGATAATTGAAACAGTGTCTGTAATACTTTGTAGTATACCTTAATATCATTCAGTATTAAGATTTCGGTCTTCTGGGATATGACGCCATACAGTCTGGCAGATAGCTACAAACTTTTTGCAGAAACCTACTAGCACCATCTTCAGGATCTACCCTAAAACGCTGGTAATCTTCTTTGGCTTATAATTCTCTAAGACCATAATCTCAGTGTTCACCATCGTGAGAACCTAAAATCCAACCTTTCACCGTGTCTACTTGATGTTACTCTTTGTAGGAATACGGCTGTATGTCCATTTTCATGAAATCCTAATTCTATCATCTATCATTTTCTTGTCTTTCAGTCGCTGAAGAAGATGACAATGAAATGCAGGAACAATAGCCAAACGTGTCGAAGCAGAGCCCGCAAATAAGAAACTGCTGAACACTACAAAAAGTAAGAATGGGGGATAAAGTACCTGAGAGTTGCCCTGAGAAGACCTTGGACTCTGTTGTGTTCTGAAAGGAATGGCCACCTACATTAAAAGAAAAAAAGAAAATTAGAATGACCAAGGAAAGGGACCCCGAACTTCCAAAAGGAGAGATAAAAAAGTGAAGTTTGAACCAAGTTGTGCTCGAGTTTGTGATTCTATAGCCCTTTTTTTAGTTTCTTTTTATAGTTTCTCAATTTAAATTCAGACGTAGGCAAATAAATATCTCTTTTTTTTGTGGTTTAGTTAATTGTGACCAACACGAAGTGAGTGTGATACGTTTGTCTCGTGAAGACACTTTGAAAATACTGTGGCCTGTGTTCTGATGACGCACTTCACATAGCAGAGTGCTGGATAAGGAGAAGTCAGGACGCTATGGTTCAGCCTCTGCTTCGTGCTTAGCTGCAGGTAAGCTCGAACCCTCAGTTGAACGTGTTGTGGTGAGTCTATCTCATTTGTCTTCAGTGTTTTATTTTTTGGGGCAGTGGTATGGGTAAATTTTTTTTTGGAAGCTGTCGGTGTTCTTTTTCGGTTCCGACGTCCCGGCATTAGCACTGTATCCACTGTCGGTAATTACTTCAGTAAAATTGTGTGCTTAAATATTAGGACAAAAATATACATTGTATTTTCCCTTCACAAAATTTTATCTCCTTATTGGTAACATACCGTATTTGATGAGGAAAAGGAGTGCTGGTAGCATGATTCCTTGTAGAATTTTTCGGTTCTGTGGTGTATAACACCATGTAGGTCGATGAAAGCCAATTGACGTTTCCGATGACCATGGATCTTCAGATCCTGAAGCAGACAACAAGCTTGCTGTCTGTTCCATGTTATTTTCTTGCATGATTTCCTCTTCAGCCCTGAAGATTTATGTGACATGTTCCTCCGAAACGTCAGCGGATTCTCATCGGACTATATGCTATGTCCCAGAAGATAGACCTCTTTCTGATTCTTTGTGTTTGCCTAGTCACTCTTTGAGCCAGAAGACAGGCTTGCGGACACTTGGTATGAAATTTGGTGTTGTGTTATAAATACCATGCTTGTTTCTTTTTATCCATATTTTTAAGCAGCCAGTGATTGACGTGAACTTTTTCTATCAGATTTATCGTTCGGAAGATGCGAAAGACGTACAAAGAATTTCTATGTATCTCCTGTAGTACCTAGCCTAGAGCTTCATCGCCGTGCTGAAGTATACAGGTTTACTGAGGTTTGATCCAAAGAGCAGCCGAAAATAATTTTCGGTGAATGCTCAAGTTTTCGATCAGCTATCTTGAGAGGTATTCCTACAGCGCTGAGAGGCGAGGGTACTGGCAGTTTCTATGTGATACTACTGGGAAAAGGAAGTTTTTTAGTGTTGTTCCTTATGCGTTATGATTGGTGAATCTGGTTCCAATTATCTGCATTGCTGATCATATTGGACACGCGGTCTAAGCCATGAAATGTCTTCGCTCACTCGGACACTGGGATCGTGGGTTCGAATACCACTCAAGGCATGGATGTTTGCGTTTATTCTGTGTTTGTGTTGTCCTGTGTAGGTAGCGGCCTTGCGTCGGGCTGATCCCCCATCCAAGGAGTCCTACCGACGGTCTAAAATCAAGGAATTGAAGTGAATCGAAGTGTTTCACGGATGCCCAGTGCTCCAATTGGGAGCAACAGGAACAAGGATATACATATAGATGTTATCAGAATCGAGGGACGCTCCGATTCGAGTTTCTTAAAGTTATAAGACACATTACCAAAACACTGACTCAAAATCAATAACGACTCATAATTATTCTCTACATTACGAAACTGAAAATGTATTTGTGGTGGTAGTAAGTAAAAAAAGTAAAGTAAAGCTATCCCTGTAACAGGCCGTGAAGGCCCATAGGGTTGTGAGACGTCGAGGGTCCCACATTAGCTAGACGGTAGTTCCTTTGTTAATTCTCTGAGTCACGAGGTTCTTTTGCCAGGACACTATGTTACTACATTCTTCTCGCCAATACTGTAGTTTCGTTCTTTATACTCATGAGATTGCTACCACAAAACTGCAGCCGAACCCTTTCAAACACGAATTTCAGGAAAGAAAGTTACATCATCTAGTTCCTACCTCACAGGAAACACGCTTCGTCTCCAGTATGAACAGCATTTGGTAAATGCTGTTTAGGGGAATTACCGCTGTTAACTGTGGAAATCATATGAAACGTGTAAGTATACTGTGAGGACAGAATTAGGAGTTTTAAAATGTTAAATCGGGTGGTACATACTGTAACCGAAATGTGCGAAAGGGGTTTAAATAAAAAATAACTGCTATTATTTCCCTCAACAACATGAACTGGTATTTGTAATAGAGGCGCAAGATGTTTTCTGAGGTATGAACTTAGTTTTTCAGTAGTGTTTAGAAGACTAACGGCAGAAGGTAAATTTTCTCTCTGCTGAATTAATTACCACGTTAGTGTATGGGGAAGTGGAAGTAGCTCCACTATTCTTGACCTTGGCACTAGCTGGAGTAAGTGGTGAGTGGTCAGCTTCAGCCGCTTTACTTATAAGGAAAAGGACCCAGGCCCCCGTTGAGTAGGAGGCTGGGCTAGTCTGAACTCTGTGGAGAAGAGAAACACCTCTTGCCTTGCCTGGAATCGAACCCAGGCCGTCCTGCCCTTCTCTATACCGACTGAGCTGTCCTAACATCAAAAGGTAAATTTTAACATCAGTTAGGTAGTTGAAGTTTAGGACTGCGAGGCGACATTTCATTCGCGAAGACCGGAGCTGTCACACTGCACGTGCTTACTAGGCACACTAGGCCTCTTGTATGGTATTAATGGTCTTAAGGCGAGTACAGTGACACTGACATCAATTAGCTGTAATTACAAATTACAGGCATAAGTGGTTCTAATGGGAATTAATGTTCGCAGCCCAGACATTAATTGGGTGATGCTTTTGTGTCCAGACCAATATCTGCTCTGAAAACATCGCTTGTGACATGGAATAAGGTGGAGTACGGATGTCGTTTCGTACTGTTAGATGCGATAATGAAATATTCCGTGTTTTGTTCTCGATTAATGACCGCGCAGTCTGTACTTATCACATTCTTGCGCCAGTTAAAAATCTGTAGTCGTGAGTTCGAATTTAATCGGATTATATGGGTGTTTATACAGGATGATTCGAAATTGTTGTCGGGGTTTTCGTGGCCTGTAAAACCTTACGTGCCACGAAAGGAACGCATGTTGAAGTTGTTCAGCATTCTTCAATATTTATTCTACAGGTAATAACACTTTTTGAGTTACACTTTCATATTCCGTCAGCAGTTTTGTTTTGTTTTTGCGGTTTGAAAATTATAGGCTACGTAAACCCCGACAGTAACTTAGAATCACTCTGTATTTTGTGAGTTATTCTGTGAAGGTTAAACATTGTAACGACAGTCGCCTGTATGTGGAGTTCTACCGTCTGGATGGAATAAAACTTATAAAACATGCACGATGAAGAAATCGGACTGTAACTCCATTGAAGAAGACAAGTTACATATGATTGAAGTTTTTGATTTCGTACAAAACTTATTCCATCTCTTGATGGAATTTCAACCATAAAGTCAGCTCATACAGATTACAAAAGTTTGGATATATTTTGTGGAAGATCTAACTTTTTGTTTGAAATATCCGTATTTGTCTACTTTCTCGTATTCATAGTATGAGAAAATATTGAGCTCGTGGAAAAATCGGTCTTTGGATTTTGACCGATTTGCACAGTTCCAGCGTCCCTAAATGTATGAAAATATGGTTTGTAGAATGCCGTCTCTATGAATGTTCACCTTACTAGTGCCTGGACAGCCATATATAAACTCCGTGGCCTGTAGTCCGCAAGGGAACTATACCGACCGACCGCCGCTTGTCGGCGAAGTTAGTGCCAACTTTAGCGGAAACGGTGACCATTGCTATGCAACATATTCGTAAATATGCAGCAGTACTGTGGCTGTTGCTGTGCAGCAGCCCGCAAGCAACAGTGGAAGTTCCTGTGGAAGCGGCGTTTTATATGTGGTTCGATCCGAGGATATATCACTCTACCGACCGAATTAATGCAGTTCAGCATATTGGAGGGAATGAAGTTTGTTGGTGAACAGTCAGTCAGATGACTGCTGTAGTTCAGTCCTTGTGAGCTGTTGCTGTTGAAGCTAGTAGCTGAGGCACGGAGTAGTTCTGGAACCCAAAGATTGGGGAACGTCCGCTGTTGGAAGCCGCTACCACACAACGACTAATGAAGACACAGCGGACTGTCAAGATATGCGCGTGCTGTAGTGAACTGTAGTGTGTGTGAATTAGCGATAGCGCTATAGTTACTTGTAATTAATACTGTATATATGTGTTCAGTAAATCCAGTTACCAGTCCAAACGACGTCTACAGTCACTATCACGTGACAGTATTTTTCTTAAAAATAGTCAACGAATTTGATCAAATTTCACCAATTTGAAGTACTGATATTCGCAAACAAGACTGCAGTAGATCCAAATATTATTTATTTTAGAACAGCATAACTCTGTGATCCTTAAAGCGTGTATACGTATAGGAAAGTATGTACAGTGTCTTTACTTCCATTTCTTTCCTTTTGGAACACTTCTATGTATTAATGTGTTACAGTCCGTGCGCCTCCGAGAACGCAGTTCCGTAATAATGCCCATTAATCAAAGTTAATTAGCTCCATGAAACGTCGATTAGCAATTCTTCGTTTAACGAACAAAATTTTAACATTTGCTTTTCGTCGTAAGACCCATAATTTCATTACTTGTATCGAGAAAGTTGTAAAATGTGATTAAAGCATTGAGTATTGATAAGATTGTGCTATCACACAAGTAGAATGTCTGGCCGTCGAACTGAGCTTGTAAACATTTACAGTGCGCGCGCGCAGAATGTCTGGCCGTCGAACTGAGATTGTAAACATTTACAGTGCGCGCGCGCAGAATGTCTGGCTGTTGAACTGAGCTTGTAAACATCTACAGTGCGCGTGCGCAGAATGTCTTGCCGTCTAACTGAGCTTGTAAACATCTACAGTGCGCGCGCGCAGAATGTCTGGCTGTTGAACTGAGCTTGTAAACATCTACAGTGCGCGTGCGCAGAATGTCTTGCCGTCTAACTGAGCTTGTAAACATCTACAGTGCGCGTGCGCAGAATGTCTTGCCGTCTAACTGAACTTGTAAACATCTACAGTGCGCGCGCGCGCAGAATGTCTGGCTGTCATACTGAACTTGTAAACATCTACAGCGCGCGCGCAGAATGTCTGACTGTCGAACTGAACTTGTAAACATCTATAGTGCGCGCGCGCAGAATGTCTGGCTGTCGAACTTAGCTGTAAACATTTACAGTGCGCGCGCGCATTGGTGATCATTGATTGACAGGGAAACGACGATCATTAGGATATCTGGACAAGTGGGAGTGTCGAT